ACAGAACTTCCCATCAAAGATAAGTAGTGCAACGGCACCCTCTTGAGCCCTTCCACCACAGCCGCTCCTGATCTCTGATACAGGGTGTGCTCACAGAACCACTTTCCACTCCAAAACACGTGGGATAAATGCCCCTGGCACCTCTTCTAGAGACAACCTCTCTGGAACTACTGTAAGATGCAGAAATGACTTGGTAATAAAGGGAGAGAGAGAGTAACCTCTTTCCCGATACGTAGGCTTGGCAGAACACACTCGCTCTAGTTATAAATAAATACGAATAGTTTATTTTAAGCATTTTTTTCCTCTGTCTTTAAATTTTCAAGAGGTGGGTAACTTGTCAGGGGATGGCCAGACAATAACTTTATAACAGATGTTGAGATCCCAAAAAGTTAAAAGTCGAAAATGCCAACATCACATGTTAAAACATACCCAATAATATCCTTCGAGGTGGGGAAAGTACAGCCCTGGGGCCGTATCTGGCCCCCGGCTTGCCTGGATCCAGCTCCAGAGACTCAGGGCTCCCCCCGCATCACTGGAGAGCAGGCTCTTGAGCACTGCGGACCCCTCCTGCCCAGACTCCAAACCCCACCCCATTCCTGCACCCTCCCACCATCCTAGACCCACTAAGCCACTCCCTTGCCCTCCTTCCTGCCCAGACCCTACATCTCAAGCTTGCTTCCCAGCAGCCCCCTCCACACACTGAACTCATTTTTGGCCCCACCGCAGAGCACGGGGAAGCACAAAATCTACAAACTTTGGGCCCCCATGCTCTGGTGTACAAGGGAAATGTGTATGAGAGGCATCCCCCCCCCAACTTTTCTGTGGCCCCCAACTGATTTTTCTGTGGGCCCGTGGCCTCCAACTTAAAAAAAAAAAAAAAAAAGGTTCTTCACCCCTGAATCTAACTTTTAAAAAGTTTTCAAGCTGCTTTTTCCTTCTGTTCCGAGATGTACGTTTTGATCATCAATGGAAATACTGTTTTCAGTCGGTTTGCATGTAGTGAAATCAACGTTCACCAACACTTACCAACTGAAAATCTAATGCTGCCAGAGCGACCAATAGCTAATACGGAGAATAGTGTTGGAAACTGCTTCGTGAAAAGCCCAGGAATGTTGCCACAAATGGCATCTGCTTAAGTTAGCAAAAGAGATGGGGGAAACTGTAAACAATAACCACTCCCACTTTAGTCAGCTGTTCAAAATACCGGTCCGTTCTGTGTCAATACGTGATTGATTGCTGCTCCATCCCCTTAATCTTCAGTTTCACATTCTGTTTTCTCAACCCTGGGCAAATTCCTCTGATAGTTGTGAGAACTAAAATATCTTCCTTTGCCGAGTGAGAGATTCTCTTCTTTGGGTGTTTTTAAAATGCAAAATGGGTTCTCTCTTAATATGGATGTAAAATCCTGTTTAATTGGTTAATCAGCGAAATGTTTAACTAATTAACCATTTAAAGAGGAGGGTGCCTTCGTTGGAGTAGCCCCATTAAGGTCCCATGAGGCTTATCAGTTAAACATTCACATCCCTCCTTCTTAATACCCCTCTGAACTAGAGTGGCCAATCGCATATATGCACAGTCCTAGACAACCTGCACAATACAAGGGAGTATAATTAACCCTCTTTGAAAAATGAAAAACCTACAAACTAAAAAGGCAGAATTCCTGCAAGTAATTTAACGTTTACAATATTTGCCCAACTAGACAAAGCCACTAGTCTCAACCCTCCTTGACTACTCCAAACGTTACGTCACACTGTTTTTGCAAGTGCTCTCATAGCCAAGTGATCATGTAAAGACACTTAATAGCACGAAGTTCTGAAATGGCACTGTGCAGGAAAAGTGGGTGTTACATAACTAACCTGAATCTTTACAAGGCTTGGAAGAGGTTAATTTTATACCAGCAGAAACCCTTAGGGGTGCTATACACAAAGATGATAAACATGAGTTACTATTTTTGTTTTATGTCTGTTTGGTGACTATTCAGAGCAGGAAAAAAATTAAATGTAACATTCAATATGTGCACTTCCTTTTGATCAAAGTCCATAAGAACACATGTCAGTGAGACACACGTGACCACCCTCTTATAACATCATCAGCATCAAATTTTAACTTCCTTTATCAGCAATCCAAAACTTGAATCACTGAAATGCAAGAACTGGGATGTAAGTATATGTACTCTCTCACACTATGATCTCAGTATTGTGAGATCAGATCCTTGAGTGTCTGCATGGTGATTTACTTTTTAAATCCATATTAAACAAATAGCAACTGATAATCAGTTACAATAAATGTATCTCCTAGAACATATTAATTCTTACTTGCAGCCTCTGACTTTCATGTGTTCAGCAAGGAATCTAAGTAATAAGGGATTTCCTCTACTTCTTTTTCTGTAGTATCCTATAGTTGTGATAGCCATGTACTCCATATATGGCACTGATGCTAATTCTTCTGTAATGTCCTCAAACAGATCATTTTCTATACTATTTTGCATATATCAAGGTGGAAATAACTTTTGCCATACAGAGATTCAAGGCTTCCAGTTCTTTCTGTTCACTTTTTTGCTACGTTAAGTAATGACATACATAGGAACATAGTTATTCAAGGGACTAAAACTAACAAAAATAAGAAAATCCTGTTTTCCCAGTGATTGCTTAATTCTGAATTGCTAGATGCTAGAACTCCGTACTTTCCCATGACACGCTTAACTGGTATTGCATTTGCCCCAAAATATCTGAATTCTAGCTCTCAAATTCTGAGCCGTTTCATGTTTACAACTGTCCACTACTTTATTTACTGTTACGAAAAGAAAACTGCATAAAACTGTGACGTCTCCATTACAAAGCAACTTTAGGTAGGAGAGTTCCTCAAATAATCTGTTGACATATTTTTCATGGAACAATAATAATTCTAGTCTATTTCCAATTAGCTTATATTTGTAAGTATCTAAAAAAAAATGATCTTTTAAACCAAGAATGAGACTTCCTCTTACACATACATATCAACCTACATTGTCTGTGTTGTGAAGAAAAGCACAGAAACCAATTAAATATCATCTTTGTCAACTTTG